CAGGATGCTGCTGCAATCTGTAAGGGTTAATCACAGAAATTGTGGTCTAAGGTCAGGTTGGAAAATGCAAAACGAAATGGGTACGTAGTTCAGTCATTACTGTTAAGATCAGTAACCTGTGAAAATTTATTCTGATTTGGTGCTCTCTAAAACACTCAATAAATTATTAAGAAAATTTATTTTTAAAGTTATGCTTCCATAAGATGTTTTGTGAAACTTAACTGGACCGAACTTCCAAACAAGCTGTCAAGAACCATATGTTCATAAAACACTTCAAAATACTTTTACATCTGCCTCTCCTGTTGATTCCAGCCGCCTTTGAGGGACAATTTAAACCCACCTTCACTTTTGAGTTTTTTAGTTCTCTCTAAGTACAATATGCCAACATGATGTAGGTGGACACATCCTTTACTGTGAACCCTCAATAAGATGTGTAGCATCCTCTACCCATAAGTAAATAATCAAGACTTTGGCTACTGACCATCACTTTTCTTATTTATGATCTGAGCAGAATTCAGCAGCAGTGATTTTAGTTCTCCCTGTAATCACACACTAGGAAATAAAACACACTGCATTGTGAAAAGGCATCCCTGATTTATTTAAACATTATAAACCGTCTTGAAATTCATATTTTTTACAAAGAAAGAAGGGAAGAATTAATGAAATGAGTGAATGGAATAAAAGAATGAATGAAAGCAAAGAGCTGTTTCTGGACGTCTTCCATGGTGAAGCTTGACAAATGCAAGTTTCTTGGAACATTACTGTTAGTAATACTAGAGTTCATGTATAATCATTGATTTTCAGTTACTCAGTTTCTATAGAGAAAGAAAAGCATTTACTTGATATATTAAAACCTCCAGCACTTTTCAGTGTCTGCAGTTCTAAATTCCTAAACCAAATTTCCCTAATAAATCTTCACTCTTCATATGAGGATCATCAGGAAAACATGTCTATGCCTTGTGGTTGCAGGCAGTGAAAGAAGTAATGTTTGTTTTGCTTTATGGAGGGGAATTTACAATAAGTTTCTCTTGTGAAATTTGCTTACAGCATTCAAAGTGTTGGGAACCTCTCACTTCAGAGGAACTTCTCATCTGAATGTAGGAATATCCCAAGTCTGGCCTGTTCCAGGTTCAATCAACAGTCTATTTCAAGCTCAGCCTATAAAGTTTAAAGTTTTGTGCATGATTTTGTACCTGTGATAATTTTGCTGTGAAAAGCAGAAGAGCACCATCAAACTGATAAGTGTTTGCTCCCGGAATTCTGCTTCCTTGCAAAACTTAGGGCCATAAATCAAATAAAGATTGAAAAAACATTGCACAGGCAGCAACTACAAACACCTCCATCTGATCCTTTTCAAATCAAGCCACGGAGCTCGCACGACACACGCCTCTGAGGAGTCTTGGTTCTCCTCGTTAAACTTTGCAGGCTGTGTTTCCTTGATTTGATCATATTAATATATTCACCTTAAAACCACATCTGCGCCTGCATTTGGTTTGTTGCCCAGCAGTAAAGAGAAAATACGTCATAAATTTTAGAGAACATTGAACTTGGTGGTGTTCAGCAGGATTATGTTTTTCAATTACATGTGATTTACTAACCTGCCTAACAGACAACTTCATTTTACAGAGATGTCTTAAATCTTAAAATCAATTTTAACAACACATTAGGAACTCTCACTCTAGCCTTTGATATATTTCCTAGGTTTTGATTCCTCATGTCTTAAATACTTTTCCCTTCCCTAGTCATTTAATTATATGAAATCACAACAAAATTGCTCACTACAAGTCACTTTTTTCCCCTCTATCTGACAACTTTCAGAGGCAACTTCTTACCCTCAGAGCAAAATTTCAATGTCACCAACTTTTAATTCTACTCTTTGCCTTGCATTTAATGAAAAAAGGACAGGATTGTCAAATTTACATGAAAAATTATTTCAATATGCTTTTGTAGTTTTAGAGATGTAATATTAACTATTATATGAATTAAATATGCCAAATTTAAAAGGAATTTTAAAGTCCAGTTTCTACAAATTTGAATAAGAGCCAGTCATTTTTTTAATCAAAACCATGTTAAATATTCATTCATGCTTCACTGTGAGCACTTATAACAAAGTAAACCCTTCAGTGTAACCATCAATATAGCAAAATCCTTGAATAATCATGGAAAAATTTTTATTGCATAAAACTAAGCCAAATTTTTAGGCAATAAGTGCAAAGACTATACTTCAATGATGGCTAGTAGTAAAGAGTTCACACTAAAATACAAATTATTGTTAACATAAAAATAAAACTCAAAGCAAAGCCAAGTTGTGACTACAAATAGTATGATGACTAAAAAAAAAATCTGGTTGATACTACAGTATTACAGTATTTTTAAATTATCTTATCAGTGATAGCTGTCCAAAATATTAGACAAGGCAGGATGACAAAAGAAAATCTGTAGACTGTTCCCTTACTAATTTTATATATTTTTATATATTATTTTATATATTTATATGTAATTATATATATTTATATAATATTTTTATATAATAGTTCTCTTGAAGTAGAAATATTAACAGTCAAAGAATAAGATCACTTGCATACACTGATCTCATTAGTGGTACTCAGATCACTACCCCAAAAAGAGTTGATTCTTACATGGCAGTTAAAGGTCAATCACTTCAAAATATCAGGAAAAAAACAAAGGGAAAACAAAAGTCACATTACAGTGTAGATCATTTGAAACTCATAATATTTTTCTACACCTGTAAGAGTTGAATAGGAAACATATTCTGGCACCAAAACAGAATTTAAACTCCAAAAGACAGTTATGTCACATTGTCTAAATACATGTGTACACATATACCCTTGGTTGTCCAGACATTTCAACAGCTCCTTATTACTCCCACCTACCAAACTAATAATAACAATCTTTTAATTCCTTCTCCATCCCAAACATTAATAAAACCAAAATCATCCTGTATTGCCATGGCACAGAGTCTGGAGGTACAGTAGTAGCTTTCCCCAGGATGACTACAGGTAGGGCTACAACACTAGCAAAGGTTGAACTGCTGAATATTCAAAATTATGCTTAATTTAAAGAAGCTAAAATTTCTCCATTGCCTTTAATTTTCAATTTTTGCTTTTGTTTTCAAGTAAAATCAGGCACTTAATCGAAATGTCCTTTTCAATAATCACCGCAGTGAGCTACAGCTTCTACATACTTTGTATGTTATACAAAACAGATAGTGTTCAATAGCAATTTAAGATCAAGGAAAATTAGACAAAAAAGTTAAGTAAACTTCTGCAAAACTGAACTGCCCATAAGGAAACATGATATATAAGTTGTGGCAAACCAAGTATTCAATAACCCACAGGATGTCCCTTTCCCTGCTTCATTTAATGTAGAAAATCAACACGTACGACGCCATCAATCAAGAGACTGTGCTTCAAAAGATTTTGCAGTTATGAGGCAGAGAATATCACAGAGTTTTGGATGAAAACTGAAGTACTTGGGACTCTTTAACAGAATTAATCAACAGCCTAAGAAATAACGAGCTCCACAGGCAATCAGGTTTTATTGGAAAGCAGTGCTATGTTCATGTTTGTTGGGTAGTTCATCAAAGAATGTCACCATTCAGGCAGGAGTGTCAGGTACAATCCTATGATTCAAAAAGCCTCTTTTACTAAGAAAATAGTGGAATTTGGCATAGAACAAAAAGAAGAAAATCAAGCATATAGGGAAAGAAGAAAAACACGTTTTTCATCCCTAAGGTGATGTCCCATTTGGAAGCGCCAAAGGAAAGTTTTCAGACCCAGAGCCCAGGGTACAAACATGTCCATGGTTGATGCCACTCTGCAGACCTAAGAACTGACCTCTCTGAGCTCTCAACACACACCTGCCACAAACCACTGCTTTACTGACGACGACCAGGGCAATCATGGCCAAATCCAGTAGGTGATATGAGCGAATGCTACCAAACCCTTGAATCCTCTGAAGAACTGAGGCCAGATAAGTGTGATTTCAGAGACAGCTGATTATGGTTAAAGATCAACATACTTACAGCAAACAACTTTAAACAATTTTTAATCTTCTCCTCTATAAACAAAGTGCTCACAGGTTTTAACATATGAGTTGAGGATGGTCCCCATGGTTGAAAAAAAAACAGGCACTTCAAGGTGCGCACAAATACTGGTGTTTGGGGTCGTTTTAGTTTTAGTAGTAACACAGACAAAAGTGATGGATCACTGTTCCTTAAAATTGATCCTTTCTAGATGATCAAAGTATTAAAATACGGAGCATAGAGTTAAATTTACTTTAAAAGCAAAAGCTTTGAAAACAATTTCTGATGACCTGAGGACTTTCTCTGAAACTTTTAACTGACATAGAATTGTTGGGGATGAAACATTCCACGTTCCAAAGCCTCTTAACAAGCCTTGCTGAGAACCTCAGAGAGTAGTCACATCATTATGATTCTTCCAAGTTAAATTAATTCAATTTTTCATTGTCGGAATATCATTCTAAATACAAAATTAGGATAAATAGTTCTTCCACACTACCCAGAGTAACAACTTTTTCTGTACCTAAAAAGTTAGTAATGCAAAAGTCTAGATCATAATAAAACACATAACACGAAGTACATTACCATTTCACTAAAAAAAAATGTAGAGAAATTGTTTTAAAACCACACAGGTTTTAAGCACACTGCCAGGCAAATGCAAAATTTAAGTATCAGCCTCTTCTCATACATGACAACTAGGACTGCAAATTACAGGAAAAAGTGCACGGTCAGGTTTCATATTTCCTATCACTGAACAGTGGCACTTAAAATAAAATAGGTACCAATTCTACGTTTATCTTCAGCTAAGTAAAATATCTAAAGGAAAGTAAAATTCGTATCAAATTCTTCTGTATCATAAATTGTCAGTAAATGAAAACATTATCATTCTCGTGCTGCTAAAAATTACAAGCCAGTACATCCTCTAAAAAGATCATCAATCGATTTTGACACTACTCACCCCACTGGAGAGGAGCCAACTGTAGATGCTCCAGGACCAACTGATTAAGAACTCCTTCCACACTTGCTTCCCCTTCACGCTTCAAGGAAGGGTAAATTGGAATTAAGGAAAATTTTGTTTCAGAAAGAAAAAGGGCATGTAATATGTACAACTTTTACTATTGGAAATCAAAACTGCAAGCAAGAGATTCTTTAAAGGTTAATGTTGCATATGGTTAACTAACCCATGAACTGACCAACAATAAAAATTACAGCAGTTGATAACTTCAGAATATAGGTATTTAATTCCACGGAGGAGTGTTAAAGCAAAGGTAAAATACACCTGAACCATAATAAAACACAAGGGTAAAAGAGTCTGGAAGCTGTGAAAATGCAAAACCTGTAAGTTTGTGGCGCAGGATGAGAATTCAAGATGATAAATTAGGAACAATCTGAAAACAAAAAGGTTAAAATTGAATAGGGCAACACAAAACAGAACAAATGGCTGCTAGGATAGCATTTAGTGCTGGCTTGGTGCCAGTTCTGTGGCGGTACAGGGATGCTGGACAATGCAGTGACAGTGTCATTACTGAGGGCAAACATACCAGGACCACACAGGCACATAACCTGAAAGCTTTCCTTTCTACCCTGCATGAGCTCAGAAACAAGCTCAGACTGAAATGAGAAAAAAATTAGAAAATTGTTGTTCCTCTAAGGACAGTGAAGCACTGAAATAAAATGTTGGGAAAAGAAGAATCTCTTTCAAAAGGGCTTCAAAACAGGTTACACAACAAACACTAAAATAAAAGCACAGGCAATATCCAATGCAACACAGAGACAGGATTATCCATTTAAACAAATTAATAGTAATTTCATGCAATGTGTCAATCACAACATGCATTTGTAACAGGAAGAGCACTGGATTTCTTGGTTCTAATTCCCTGAATTCAGCAAGGCACTGAACTCAAAGGGCTTTGAAGCACTTTGATGCAGGTGTCAGTACCATCTTGTATTCAGCCAAGGCTGCACTCCCTGGCTTTGGCGTGATTTTGTACCATGAGAAGCCCCTGTCCTGGTGAGGGTGAGAGGAAGAAGTGGAGGTGGAGCAAGGGTGGCTCCTTCATGGATGCACATGAGCTTCTAGTGTGTGCTCTTACACCAGAACTGTACTTACACTGGCAAAACCCGCACCATCTTCACAGCCCAGCTCATGATTGCACAAAATGGGAGCATCACACAGAAAAATATCTAAGGAAGAGGCAGGTTCCCCTTGGAGCCTTGAAAACACTCCTTTTCCAACTTCACAATCTTCAAATGAAACACCCATAGGTGGAGTCCCACCACAATTAAAGGACAAGCTCCCAGCGAGATTCATCGAGATTTCCACCGACGACTCCAAAAGCCTGGAACCATGTTCATCAAAAATACAGCAAAAAATGAAAGAATATCTGAGTTTTTATAAACAGCTTCTATATGTGACCAGCCATTTTTCTGCAAAACTCTGGAAAGAGAGGAACATCATCTGACTGGTAGAGTATGTACTCTATGTCATTTATAAGAAAATTAACAAGTACTGCAGATAACTAATTTCTATCACAGGACATTATTTTGCAGGCTCTATATAAGATTTAAAACAAAAGTCTGGAAACCTCAGAACAAAAATAGATCTATCCATTAGTGATTGAGACTCAAGAGCTCAAGGAGATGACAGAAGAGGAAAATCAATACACTGTACAAGATTCTTGCCATTATTTTTCAAAATATTCTCATTATGCCCAGAAAAGTGTCATAAATAGCACTTCTTTTTTTCCCTAAAAAGACCACAAATAAAGAATTCACAAACCCCTAAGAGTCTAAAAAGCTGTAAACACCATTAAAGAAAAGCATCTATTTGGAAAACCGAAGGCAGCAGAATATCACCTTAGAAGAACATTGCTGCTGAAAAATAAGACTCAGAACATGAACACAACTGAGTAATTTCCATAAAACAAACTAGAGGACAGAGAATACATAATTTGGATTACTTCACAGAAACAGCAGATAAATAATTCTGTTATCACATCTTTAATGTAAGGAACATAAGTTAGAGAAAACACTAATAAAAAGGCAGTATTTAAAAGACGTTTTAAAACAGTGGCTGCCATTAACCGTAACATTAAACTAACTTCACTGTAATTTACTTACAACTGGCTCACAGTGGGGCCTGGAATATTACTGATTTTAACTCCTTAAAGCTCCGTGGAAAGCTTTAAGTCTCAGATACCACTACAGAATTACTATAAAATAGGTGATTCTCCACACTTTATCATTGGTAAGTGCTGTCAAAGCAGATCCAGGTATTCACATGTAGAACATTCACTCTGGAAGGTAGAACCAGAGGAGGTGAGGCCACATCTGGAGTGCTGTGTCAGTTCTGGGCTCCTCAGCTCCTGGAGCAGCTCCAGTGAAGGCTACAAAGATGATGAAGGGACTGGAGCATCTCTCGTATAAGGACAGGCTGAGGGAGCTGGGGTTGTTCAGCATCAAGAGACACTGAGAGGGGACCTCACCCATGTCTGTCAGGGTCTGCAGGGAGGAGGCAGAGGATGGACCAGGCTCTGCTCGGGGGTGTCCAGCATAGGGACAAGAAGCCACGGGCAGAAACTGATGCCCAGGAAGCTCCTGAACACGAGAAGAACTTCCTTCCTGTGCAGTGACCCAGCACTGGAACAGGTTGCCCAGAGAGGGTGTGGAGCTTCCCTCATTGGAGATATTCCAGAACTGTCCAGACACAATCCTGTGCCACGTGCTCTGGGATGACCCTGCCTGAGCAGAGAGGTTGAACCAGATGACCCACTGTGGTCCCTTCCAACCTGAGCATTCTGTGGCTCTGTGATTCTGTAAGGCTGGTTAGACCACACACATATTCAGGAAATAAACCGCATTTGTCTAATGAGATCATTGAATGAAACAGCATAAGGGAGTTTGGTGGCAAAGGAGAGAAAGGCAGGGTTGAGATGCAATCAAAGACGTCTTGTTCAAACAAATTATGTGTTCACATGGACCTACAGGGGGATCTGGAATTCTGTACCATTGATCTTTGTCTCCTGACTATATTATCAGACAATTACATACAACTGCTCATTATATGAGAAACACAAAACTGAACATTGCAACAAACTCATTACCTTGGAGATGAAAAGCAACCAAAATATGCAGTAAGAAAATGTCAAAGCAACAAGAGACAAAAGCTTAACTGAAGAGTTTGTGTATTTTCTAAGATAACCCTGTAGAAGTCAATGAAAGGAAAGCAGTTGGAACAGGGGTTGCCAATATACACTTTCATTCTTACCTCAAAGTCAAAGCTGATAAAAGACGCAAGTGTAAGATCCAGGATTTAAAATTCATTGAAAAAGACTGTACAGATAAACAGAAGCACAGGCTGCCAAGCTTAAGTTTGACCTTGCAGGATCTCTCTACTTAACTAAACCTCCATACACTTTGCTGAAATCTCACTGTGATCACAAACCTGTTCTTCTGTAGGAGTCAGATTGTTGACCCTGGCCTCATTTCCTACTGTCAAACCTTTGTTATTAACAACACACACATCAGCCAGGACTGAAACAGCTGACTTCCAGTTTTCCGTGCAACTGTTCATATTTAACAATTCAAGACTGTACAGTCAAATAGGCCTCAGATCCAGAGAACACACAATCACCAGATGCTGTTTTAAAAAAAAATAAAATTGAAAACCTAATTTTTCACAGTTGACACCCTTGCTACATGGTTCTGTAGCAACAGACTGAATATGATATAAACTGTTTCATACCAAATACCTAAATGAACAGTCAAATGAACTAATTATTTCCCCATGGAAAACTTTGGTCTTTTATACTCACTGGATTGCCTAATGTGTAGCTGGGTATCCACAATTAGAACACAGCATGTTATCTAAAACCTCCTGCTTAAAAAGACAACACATTTTAAAAAATGGTTTATATCTGGAAGTTACTTATGTTTTTTCTCCCTACAGCATTCCATATCTTGCGTCTTAAAAAAATTTATTTTCAATATATATGTCCTTTGCAAATAAATCCAGGTGGAAGAATGCACATAATGATAAAAAAATTAGCAAATTTTCATAAAAAGGAATTATACTAATGAAAAATAAATTTACATGATTAACGATCACAATTTACTTACAGCAGTAGCCCTAATCATATTTTAAGCTTTCTGTTTGATTATCATTGTGGTACTTTATTATTAAAACTAATTATATACAGTTATTTGGAGTCTTAAATGATAGTTACTTTTCTGTAAACAACTGGTGTTGCTAAGAAGCTGCATGAAAACGTAAGGAAACCTTCACTGATGTACAAAAGTTCCACAACACATTCTCATAACCGAAGATTCATAATTATGATCAAGATGAAGTCATCAAAAGCTGAACAGACACAGAAAAATGAATTTCAGTAACAGCAAATCAGTTTTGCTGTCAAGCAAATGAGATGGGTCAAGGTTCTGTCTGAGAGATACTAATTTCGAAACCCTGATTGGCTACTTAGATGATGAAATACAATAACATTCATAATTTTTATGTATTTGGAAAAGATGTCAGTGTTCCAAAACCTAATAAATGAGTAGAACTTATGGAGATTATTTAGATGAAATTCAATGAAGAAAAGTTCCAAGTATCACCCCAGAAAGAATCAACAATCTATAAACTGATATTTGGGAATTCAGTCAGTAATGTTGAACTACGTGCAATAAAAAAAATCAATCAGACATGAGCCACTTGCAAAAGAATTAAAGAACAGTTCTCAGAGCAAACATATATGAAACCTGGAAAGTACAGCTTTTATTCTGTGAGAAACCTCATCTGCAGTATTGCTTCCACATTTGGACCTCACATATTGAGAAAAATAGAGCTGTACTGCAGAACAAATCAGCAATATGACTGCAAGGAGATGTGTTTTGAAAGAAATTTTAGGCAATTAGGCTTAAATATAGAAAAGAAAAAACTGAGGAAGGGGCACACAATACAATTTTAAAAATGTAAGGAAACATTGCAAATAGGACAGGCTTCCTATACATCACAGATATTAAGGCTGAAGTAAAAAAAAAAAAGTCTACCGATTAGAAAAGTTAAAAATGGAGCATGATATTCAAGGTGGCACTGGAAGTCTCATTTTTTTAAAGGCTGTTGGGGCCAGGTTTAGAATATTTTCAAGAAAATGATCCCAAAATGTTACAGTCTCATTTCACTGAAATAGCAATTCCCTCACAGTACATTAGAAAATTTCTTGGCTGCAATAGAACCTGGGGAGAGCAGGAGATAGGGGAAGGAAAAGGAGTTTAGTTTTCAACAGTCATTCACTGACCCAGCCCTCTGCCTGGCTGCACAAATCACAGAATAATTTATATTGAAAGGCAATTCCAAAGTCACCGTCCAACCCTGTGCTCAAAGCACGGAAAATACTGAAATTGCATCAGGTTGTTCAAGGCCTTGTTCAGAGTTTTTTAACATCTTCCAAAACAGCAATTTTACAGCACTTTTGGACAACATGTTCCAGTATTTGAGCACCCTCATTGTGGAAAGGAATTTTCCTAGTATCTAACTGGAATTTACCTGGCTGCAGTTTGCTACAGTCACCTCAGGATAGGCCTTGGTTGAAGAGTCAGATGAACTTTGTTGACTGCTGTAACTCTCAGGCTTTGAGGTTGCTCCTTGAAGCCCATCAGCTCTCCTGGGACCAAGGGCAGCCTCCTGTGCAATTCTGCCCTCCAGTTTGCCAAGGTCTCCTCTACTAAAGTCCAGGATCACTATCCTGCTACTTGCCCTCCTCACTTCCCTAAGGATATTGAACTCCATCATCTAAGGACAACTGCAGCCAAGGCTGCCATCAAACTTCACCTCTCCAATTGGATCTTCCTTATTTTCAAGTAGCAGATCCCACACAGCACATACCAAATCAAGCCATCCAGCACCTGCACACTAAAAATGTCCTTAAAGTACTCCAGAAATAATCTAACCTGCAACTGGAAGACTTCTTCCAGTTCATCCAGCACTGTTTCTTGTTTGGGGGGTCAGTAACAAATGCAAACCACCTCACTCTGCTGGATGACTGTCCTTGAAGCAAAAGCTTTCAACTGGCCCATCCCTCCTGTCCTAACAATTCCCTGTGCACTCCGATTTCTCCTCCACATGCTTTTGCAAGCTCAGCTGTAAGCATCTGACATGAGCCCTCGTTCACACCGCGGGGTAGATTCAGTGATTTTAAGTAATCTTAACCCATCACCTTCCCATGTTTCCCCTTCTTGCCCTGCTCTACAGACTTTGAGGTCCATCCTGCAAGACACCAAGTTCCTTGCAGTTCATTAAGCAGCAGCAAGAGTTATGACAAACTAAAATAGACATAAAACAAGTATAAATAACTTCTTGATGCTATCCCTAGCAAAACCTTTCTGTTCTTCCCATGAAGAATCTGTTCCACCATCTCAACATTGATAAATCTTTGTTTACTCCTCTAAAAGTGAGGATCACCTGCATGTGACCTAATTCTCTGAAATAATTATGTCTTTACCTTCTGTCTTTAGCCCTCCAAAAGTACACAAAAATCAATCAAGTTTTATGATACTTTCATAAATGAAGTACTGAAAATCTCATCAATTGAAACCCTTAATATTTCAATGGATAAAGTCAGGGAAAATGGATTTTCCATGCTGGAAAATTCTTCTGATGCTGAAATCCTCTTCCTTTGTGAGCTATTTTTGGTCCACGCAGGAATTCCTTATAACTGAACTTCTCAATCCAGTCAACGTAATCCATGCATTTCAAATTTGAACCCCTTGCTTATGTGATGGTTTCATGTGGTATCAACTAATAAAGCAAGAATTTAAGGAACTGCAAGCTAAAAAATACAGCCTTTCTCTTGTAAACAACTTAAGATTACTTACAGCAAAACATCTGAACTGTGTTCAGATGTACATCCATTTGGTCACGCACAGGGTTAGCAGAGAAAAGTTACCTGGGTTCAAAGTAGTTCAAAGACGATGGAATAAAAAAGAGATCATTTGGTCTTACTATTCAAAGGACTTTTGCAAAAATACCTTTTTCAGAAGGAAATATAAGCAACTCTATCCCTTTGTATCCCTTTGTATTTTTCCAAATACTTTTCCTCTCTTAGCTGCACTTAGGCTGACTTCTGAAGGAAAAGGCTTATGCAGCTAAACTATCCATCCATTTCTCTGCCCGTCTGTGCATCAGTATGTCTGAAATAAACTCCTCTGGCCAGTGTCAAATTACTCTGGTGGGAGAAAAATGTCTCAGAAAACAAGTTTCTTAAACTTAGCAGAAGTGAAAGAAGAATTTTTTCGGTGCACATCTCAATGTTGCTGTAAGAAATACAAAAGGATGAAGCCGGGGGAGGTTCAAGATGGACGTCAGAAGGAATTTCTTCACTGAAAGGTGGTCAAGCATTGGAACGGGCAGCCCAGTGAGGTGGTGGAGTCACCAACCCTGGAGGTGTTCAAGAAATGACTCAACGTGGCACTCTGCACTGTGGTTTAGTTGACATGGCAGTATTTGGTCAAAGTTTGGACTTGATGATCATGGAGGTCTTTTCCAACATTAACAATTCTATGATTCTATGAGAAAGACTGACCCTAGCCAGGACAGGCAACTTGGAACAGAACGTACATATTTCTTCGAGGATTTTAAGCACATCTAAAATTTCTTGCCTTTCATTAATTAGAATAGTTTTAGTTTCTGGAACAGAGAGAACAATCATTGTATTAAAAACACAGAAACTAATGCTTGCACTCATTTAGCACACAGAAGCCATGGATTGTTCTACTGGTTTACTGAGGTACTGACTTACATGTCAGCCACAGCAGTTTTGGGATCAAAACTGGGCTTAAATACATAACACAGCATGGATGTAAACAGTGTTGCCGAGCAACAGAAATGAGTGAGGATGTATTTTTACACCTTGACAAAATGATTACAACTATGCACTCAATTCCAGCGTAAGAATTCATCTATGCTACCATGGAATATTTATATCTTTCCATAACACAGACATTTTCTAAGTGAGTTCTGGTTAAATATTGACATTTTTGCATAAATGGAACTCTCTCTGAAATCTTGCTTAGGGAATCTGGAATGAACCAGGCACTAGGACTCTTATTTATGCCTCAAACCTTGCCTTTGACAAATCCTGTGCAGGTAATTTAATAATCACAGGATGGTTAAGGTTGGAAGGGACCACTGGAGGTCATCTGGTCCAACTCCCCTGCTCAGGGAGGGTCCCCAGAGCATGTTAGTCAGGACTGTGTCCAGACAGCCCTTGAGCATCTCCTGGGAAGGAGACTCCACAGCCTCTCTGGGAAACCTGTTTCAGTGCTCAGTCACCCACACAGTAAAGACGTTTTTCCTCATAATTGTTAGTAATGAAACATCATTTCAGATCACTAGATAAAAGTACAATTAAAATTACAAACAAATAAAGCATGATTTGATTGCCACTCTTCTCTCATCTCCTGCCACCCACTATCATGTGAATTTGAGGATGATCTGAGCGAAAAATATAAATCCTCTGGAAGTTGCTGAGTATCATCACATGGCCTGGGGGGCTGTTGGCTGTACAGAATGTTTCCCTGAAGAAAATCATGAGAAAGTGTATTTTTGACAAGCCAAGCACAAGAATTTTTATAGAAATCATGAAATTTATGGCAACACCATTGGTTTATTTTAACTCTAAACCAAATGCAATTTCTTATTAATAATCATAAGGTAATATTTTAGTGCATTTAAAATGACTAACTCATCGCACAGGTCCTGCCTAAGCCTTAAAAGGCTACCCAAGATTAGATATATTACTAAATCTGTAAAGAGGACTTGGAAATAAATTATTCTAATATGTTCTGATTTACTCAAATTCAATTAAATATATGCAAACTCTCTAAATCCAGCTTCATGTATTTCTTCATGATTCAGTTACTCGGTGTGTGGGAGAATAGAAAAATTTGACCCTATAAATCTACTACTCCTCAATCCTAACTATACTTCCTCATTTCCCTAAAAGTTGGGAAAAACACACAGTATTTATGACAGGCTCAATGACTCAGAAAAAGCCATTACAGGATGACCCAAGCATCGCCTAAATAATATACAGCACAATTAACCTTAAGCAGTCTATAATTATGATAAGCTTCATAGTTCTAATTACTTTTCTTTTCAGCAACACTGCTATGAAGTGAGTTGAATTATAAAATAAAATGTGTCATAGGGCATCTATTTATATATTTTTAAAGCAAGTATTTATGAAAGGATATAATTTTCCAGCAAATATCCAACTTGCTGTTAATCTCCAGACCTTTTGCTTGTTGCCTTTCTTCTTCCAGCTGCTTCGCATTCGCCAACTGTGTCCCATCAGTAGGGGATTCTGGGAAGCTTTCAAAACTGAACTTGTCAACTTGGATAGCCATACTGTAGAAAAGGAAAAGAAGGACAAAAAACAACATAATTTTCACTGTAACAATTTTTACAGGCATTATTTCTGCAGAAACTGCAGAGCGCTGTGTATTTGTTTCAGTGGCACCTACTCTGTATATTAATGACATATAAGCCATATGATTTATGCTACTGAAAACAGAAGTCTAAGCCTATTGATGATGGCCAGATGTTTTACAAATCATCAATCAACATCTGAATGCCCTTGTGAGTGATGCACAAGACATGCATTTGGCAGTTGCAACCATCTGACCTCATCGTGGTTCTGCAGAGGTTCACCACCCACCACCCACCTCCACTCTTGTAAAAGCTCCTGGTGTGCTCAAGACTTGCTGGAAAAGCAACAAGACTGCGCCAAATGCTGATGAATATACTATTTATAGTCATTTATTAATACCAACCCATAAAAAAGGGAACCAAAATACTATATATGAAAGCATCTCCTGAAGTGAACTGTTCCACACTTAGAAATTTATTGATTTTACAAGCAACTTCCTGAATTTTCCTTACAAAACTCAGGAAGGAAAGACAAAATAAGCACAGTACTAGGGTCTGAATGTGGCCCTTTATTTCTTTTTAAAAGGGTACTTCCATCTTGCTTAGAGTATCTTCATGAATTACAGACAGTATTAATTTTAATATCACAGTACAATTCATTGGTAGCAAATGGTTAAATAATTGCTTTATTAAATGTACAGTAAGGCATAAAAGCTAATTAAATTAAATATAGTACTCTATAATGCATACCAAATACTTATATGTTAAATTAGAATCACTAATCTAATATAAAAGGGAATTTAGACCAGCTCACATCACATGAAATGTGGTTATAGCAGATCTAATATACTGTGCTGCCAAAACAGCTTTAATTTCCTGAATCGTCTGAAATAGAAAAATAATTAGGGAAGAATTAAAATATATTGCTCTTGAGATGACTTTGCACTTAAGGAAAAGAGAAGAGAGAGCAACAGTTTTGAAAACCATTCATGAGGAAAGGCAACTACAAACTAAGAGGGGGTCTGGGAAGGGCATTTCACAGAAACACAGGATTACTATTATTCTTTTATCTATTTCTACTTCTAAAGAGGGAAACATATTCTATAACTGTTGCCAAAAGAAAAACACCAGTAACAAAGGTCAAGAAGAAAGAGCTTTGAAGTCTTCCCAGACCAGAAGAGATTTTCTATAATTACCATTAATTTAAGAGAATCTTGACCCTAAAAGAAACTGGGTGAAGATAGATGGCAATTACAAGTACAAGGAATAATCTAGAGTCTGTGCAGTTTACTGAGGGAAGATGAATTCAAATAGGCCTGTCAAGACTGAGCAAAAAATGACACCTGAGGAGAAGCTTCTAATGTTCCAAGACTACTTTCCTGGAAGGGAAGCTGTCCCTGCCCATGGCAGGGGTTTGGAACCAGATGATCTTTAAGGACCTTCCAACCCAAACTATTTTATGATTCTATGATTCCATGACTAAAAAGTACAAAGCACTGAGGCAAAGGTCTCTCTAAATTACCCCTTCTGCAGACTTCATCTTTGGTGATCTTCACATCCAAAAGGCAGAGGAATTAATCTATTCCTCTCTTAAGGGAGGGTTTTCTGTTTTGGTTATTTTTATTATAGCAAGAGATCATCAGAAGTTCTTCATTTGCCTGCACAGTCCATCAAGTGCTGGGCATATTAAAAAGCTAAACATGAGATGCAAAAGTGGATCACAATAACTGCCAGAATCAAGCCAGAAACAAAGAATGTAATGAAAAACACACAGATAATACAATCTGAAGAGTGGATTCTGAAAAAATATCAGGCCTGAGACTATGACTAACAACATCAATTCTTACTGCCACTGAAGCATGATTTGATTCAGCAAATGCAGGCTGGGTTTCCTGGATTTGGCACGGGCAATGCATGTGGAAGGCACAACTGGAACACTACAAAATCATTTTAGTCTTTGTTTCCAAGATCACTTCGTCACTGTGTGGTACGTGAGCAGATGACAACCCAGTACTTCATTTCTGTTATATACACAATACTGCTTAAATTCTCACAGAAATACAGGTAGTTCCTACAGTCATATTTTAACAAATAGTCTTAGTTTCTGGACAGTCAAAAATATTTAGAATCCATCTCCCAAGGGACCTGGAAAACAGCTCCCATCTAATTATTGTGTCGCACTTTTCTAAGTGATTGATACTTTAGAAAAATATTCCTGTCTGACAATATTTAATATGTAACTGCAGGCATTCAGACTGCATTCCTCTGTTAAAGGACTGTTACTGGCAATATGGTAATTTTTTTTCTGGAAATTAAATAGGAATATAAGCACTTTTTACCCCAACAGTGTACAGTAAATCCACGTCAACTTCAGAATACAGGATCAATTACTCTTAACAATGGTTCATTGTGCATCTCTGTTTGAAGTAACTTTTATTCAGCTCTAAGTTATGGAAAACTTCAGTAAAAAGGACTCCTTGTACTCAGAATCTCTACTAAGTTCTCAAATCTTCTAACCATGCTTTTATTTATACTGTGTAAACTGTATTTAGCACCGTGACACCTCATGTCACATGAGAAGCTACAAAAAACACCCCCAACAACTCACTTGCCAGCTAGAAAGTGAAGAGTTGGAGTAAAAGACAACAACAGAGATAAAAATATCACAGAAAAAAACAGTACTATGAACACAGCTGTAGGTAGAATATATGAAGGCAATAAACAGAGATAAAATATAATGTTTCAAGACTGTAGATCCACTCAAAGAAAAGCACAACAAAATTAAATTCTGGCTCTTTTTCTAAAGCACATCTCCCTTTTATGATCAGTATTCTGCTTTGTGTTAAAAATATTCATATCAAGTTTTGTGTCTGCATTTTTTATCAGTGATGTTGCTTCGATATGTATTCCTCGGCCTATGGAATGTGTAGTAAATTGGAAGGCTTTGCACAAAAATCAAAACAAAAAATAAATACCACAACCTAAATCAGTCACTCATCCTTAAAACTGTACCCCTACTCAAACACAGCTTCTTCCCTTTGCTTTTAACATGAAGATTTCTCCCATCTCCAAAGACACATTTCACCAGTGAGGTGTTAACAAATGGACAAACAATTCCCAAAAAATAGCTGACTGAAGGAGAAAATGGATAAACTGGACATTGGGTTACAATCACCAAATAAAAAATGGATTTTTAAAAACTTTTTAATTGGTCACAAGGACTTCACGCTAAAAGAAGCAGAAGGCAAGGAAAGGCAACCTCCTGAACATCGCCCAACTTTGCCATTGGGCTGTGCCTCAGAAAAATGACACTAAGATGTATTTTAGCCATAAAAGTCATCCTGTGCTTTTGTCTTCTGCAGTTACCTTACAACCTGTTTCTTATCAAGAGTTCTCTGCACTTCTTTTCTCCCCAAATTTGTCCTTGTTTGTTGTGAGTTACAAGAATCTATGGAATCTATATCGAAAGAGGTAAAAATAGACAATTCAGTTTGAAACAAGCATTGGTTTTATTGCAAACAGCCAAGATAACGATGGCTCATGTTGTGCAAGGGCACCTGTACCTTGCCCTTCACAGTAATTACATATCAGAGAAAGCAGAAAAGATCTTAAAACTCAAAAGTTTAAACATATACTCACTCCAGGAAAAGGAACTAGAATTCCATTTTAACTTCTTTGCCTCATGGGGAGCTATCCAAATTTCTTACTAGATGAGTTTTCAATAAATCATGAGATATTTGTATAAAAACACTGCATTATGCAAAAAAAATATTAAATATCCAATCCTGCAAATGTAAAACAGGTTTTGTTTCTCTCTGGCCAACCTTGCCTGTGCAGGAGGAGGGATAAAGTAACAACAGTTTTCATGAATAATGAAACAATCGTGTTTTGAAACTACTGGGTTTTGTCACGAAATGAGCGCACGCCACTGTGACAGCTCCTCAGACAACTCAGCATCCTTACAGGGATGCAAATTACTCAAATACAAATTAAGTGAATGAAGAGGAAAAGGACAGCTCCTCGCCAAGGCTGATGATACGTCTGCACAGTATCATCCCACGTCATCTGTCAGGACGACTTACGGGGGGAAAATATGACAAACCTCCTGATGGTGCCGCCGACACCTCAATGACAGTTGTCTGAAGTCCCATTAAAGCAGCAGTGCAGAACCACTAAAGGCATCAGACAGCCCATTTCACCACTTCCCACAAAATGAGTTTCAGCTTTACTGGAAATCTTACTCTGTCCTGACAACAAAACGAAAAGCAGAAAGGCCTTTGGATGGAGAAAAGAACTTCCTTCAAATGGCATCACAACTCCCGAGCCAGTGCCTTGCACATCCCTCTTTCCTAAAGCAGTGCCAGTTGAAATCCAGCATCACTGACAGTTTCACAGAAGTGGCAACTGGCAGACAGAATTAATAGGTGATAATTCAGTGAGGGAGTATTGCTGGGAGTGCTGTAAACTCCTGCCCTTGTTCCTGGCAGGACAGCAGGCAGGTCCCAGGCACATCCCATCCTCCGGTGACGCAGCTCCGCTCTTTTCATGTCCTCATCTCTTAGAAGAGGATGAATCTATGAAGTGAAATTAATTATGTGATACTCTCCAAACAAAACAAGGTTAAAAGCAGGCATGGTATTAAAAGAAAAGCAACGTAACTAGATTTCATCTTTCATTAAGTGAATAAAACACTGCTGCTTACCTCGGAAGAACAAAATATAGAGATATTCCTTATTCAATTATCCTTAGGAAGAAACAATATAACAGGAACCCAAAAACTCTTCCTCATGGCTAACTACCTATTTAAATACTATCATCCATGGATGAGTTTGCAAGCTGCTTCCATAATGAAGCTGAGAGGAGGCAGTTGGACACTTTATTCAATATTATGTTTCCTGTTCCTTCTATCATATATAAAGCAGACAGAAGGGACACTGAGCCAGACCACGTTACTACTACTTATGCAAAATGCTAAATGT